GAGCAAATACACTAAATACCTGTTAGACAAATGGACTAGTATAGTACTTTCCAGCTTACAAAGTACTTTTTCATATAGTCTCTCATCTAATCTTCACAAAAGTACCTAAAAAGACAGGAATTATCATCACAGATAAACTGAATAGAAAAATACTAATTTTTGCCTTGGATGAGAGAAGAGGGATGGGAGTTGGGGAGAATTCCAGGTAAAAGAGATTGGCCTAATCTTAATCACCTAATAATATAGCCCAGCAAAACTATCCACTTGTTTTACAGTATCCTTCCTATGATTAATCCCCAGATCAAGCCATTCCCCTTGTTAGAACATTCATTCTTCTCTCTAAATACTATGTTCCCTTTTCTTTCTAAAAGTTGCTGCTCAAGCCTCACCTGCTTCACATGACTGTCCCAGATTAGACCCTTCAGACTCTTATCAGTATAAAAATACTTCCCCTCCCCCTCCCCCTTTCCAACCCCTATTACATAAACTAATGCCTCCCAGCTGTTTTTAGTTATGCACTATATTGCTGTTATACCTGCCACTTGAGTATATGAGTTGTTTGCTGCCCTGGTAAAAAGCATCTTGATTTTGCTTCATTTCTCCCATTCGTGTGTAAAATTAACTTGAAATAATCCACAGTGTCTAATACAGCTCCTTCCTCATAGTGCTGAGTAGCATTTTTTCATCCCCTTAACATAACACTCATTTTACAAACTGAAGTAGTGAAGAATACATTAGCTTTAGAGACAAATCTATATTAAAAACTCTCTGCCACTTAGTATGTTTGCAGTTCTCTGTAAATCTAAAATTAATTCAAAATAAAAAGGTAAAAGAGGAATAAAAAACCGCTGCTACTTGCTACTGTGTAATTGTAGTTAAGTCATGATATTCAACCTCAGATCTCAATTTCTGTTGATACATCTGAACAATAGGGATTATACAGCCTACACCAAAGAACTGTTAGGAGGACAAAGTTGTCTCAAACTAGAGTTCCTCAAAAGCAGGTTTGTGTTTAGTTTTACAATATTTTTAATTAGAAAAATGTAATAATTTCCCCCCACTCTAAACCTTGATTGATCAATGCCTAGCTAGAACTCCATACATAATATGACTTATTTCCCAATACTTCAGTGTCATCTACTGACCACTTAACACAACTGTAAAGCACCACTGCAAACAATGAAAACAATTACCTCCACACACAATATACCGAGTCACTCTGGATCATTCATTCACTTCTGCTCCTTTCACATCTCTAGCCTCATTCCCAACTACTCACCTTTTTAATTTACAAAACCATTTGCCTATTTCTTAAGAAGCTTATTCCAGCAAGAAGGGTTCGGGGGGCAGATACTAGTAATCTTTGTGTAAAAGAAGCACATGGAGGTCTAAACAAAGGCGTGATGATGAGTGACTCCAACACGTATTCAAGGAGGATGAACTGTTCCCTTCCTGAACAGATTAATTCAGGCATTCGATTATTCTTCCCCTGATCAGTGGTTTTCAAATAGTTAGCTATGGAACCCACTCCATAAAACAGACATAAGCACAAAAGCTGCCCTGGCTGAAGTAAAGAGGGGTGGGGGCACAGTAGAACCCCATCAGCTGACCCTTTCAAAGAAGCTTACAGCTGTATGAACCAGTGTGAAAAATCATTACCCTAGATTAGTGGTTCTCAAACTGTGGTCCAAAGGCTCCTAGAAGTCCCCAAGACCTTGTTCGGGGGCCCAAGAAGTCAAAACCATTTTCATAACAATCCTAAGACATTATTTGCCTTTTTAAAAAAAACTGTGCTGACCTCTACACCTAGAACCTGAGCATGAAACAAGACAATGGCCCCAAACTGTATACTCACTGGATTCTTCACTGCCACCCACTTATAGCACACACAAAACTCCACTTTCGGGCTTCCCTGGTGGCGCAGTGGTTGAGAGTCCGCCTGCCGATGCAGAGGACACGGGTTCGTGCCCCGGTCCAGGAAGATCCCACATGCCGCGGAGCGGCTGGGCCCATGAGTCATGGCCACTGAGCCTGCGCATCCGGAGCCTGTGCTCCGCAACGGGGAGAGGCCACAACAGTGAGAGGCCCGCATACCGCAAAAAAAAAAAAAAAATCCACTTTCACTTAAATGTCCTTGATGGAGCAGTAAAAATTATGGATTGTATTAACACTTGACATTTCAGTACACATCTTTTCAATACTGTGTGATTATTTGGGGAGACGAAGTGGAAGTACTCAAAAGCACTTCTACATATTGAAATACAATGGCTGTCCCAAGGAAAAACACTTGGGTGATTACTTTTGAGTAGAAAGCTGAACCAACTTTTTTTTAATGGAACACCATTTTTATTTCAAAGAATAAATGACAAACTATGGTTACTTAGATTTGAAGAGAAAATTGGAATATTGAAAACTTGTGTACACCACTATGAGCCTGTCAACTTCCCAATTCTTAAAAGATTTATCTGATGAAATGGGTGGAAATATTAGCAACTGTAAATTTGTCAACATTTGGAAGAGCTGCGTAACTCAGTGCACCAATGATTCCTAATGACCAATATATAATGTCATAAAATCATGCACAGGTAAACAAACACCCATTCAAAGTGCAAGACAGACCAATGAAATTTAATGTAACATTGTACAAAAGTTCAATGATATGGTTTCAGATTCCATGTTGCAACAAACCTTTAAGAAGGTTTGAGTGTACTGTCAAAGGAGAAATCTACAATTATTTGAAGAGGTCATTAGAACACTCCTTTTTCCAAATACTATATATCTGTATAAGGCTGGATTTCTTCACATACTTCAACTAAAACAACATACCAACCATCTGAATGCAAAAGATCTGCAAATTCAGTGGTCTTCTATTAAGCCAGACATTAAAAAGATTTGCAAAAATGTAAAACAATGCCACTGTTGTCATTAAATTTTTTAGTAACTTTTCATAAGAGTATTTTTTAAATCAATAAATCTTTTAAAGATTAGTTTCAGTTTCTAGCTGTTCGGAGTCTGCAATAATTCTTAAAAGCATAAAGGAGTCCCAAGACCTCAAACTTTGAGAACTGCTAGACCATTGCTAGAGCCTCCTTCTAATCGTCTGACTCCAGTTTCACACCTTCCAATTTACCCTACAACCTCCCAGTTTAAACTAACTCTTAGTACCAGACTTAGCTAATTAGACCTATACTTTAAGAAATCATTTTTATTTCTCTACTAAAAAATTACAATTGTTTCGCATTACACTGAATTAAGTACAAACTCTTAAAATGTGGCAAATAATTCTCAGTGTTTATTAAATTCTCAGAGTCAGTACAATGGGACAAGACCTCCGATTCATGTGGCAGGTCCTGTATCAGTGAAATGGAAAGATAATGGAATCACAGAGCATCACATTTAATTGTATCAATTCAACTACAAGCTCTTTTTTGCCCTCTTCCACAAAAACAAGTAAATATTGCTCTATTTACCCAACAACCTATCTCCTTTCAAACAGGACTTTGATTTCTCCTATCCCAGAGAAAGGGAGGTTACCACAGAAATGAAAGGAGAAACTAAAGAAAGTGACTCTAGGACTCTTAGCTTTTCAGCTTCCCATACCAGATTCTGACAATTTAAGGGTTTTCGAGAACAGTTTCAACCAGATGCAACTTATTAGCGGACTCCACAAGCATAGACCAGACATGATAAAGGTAAGATTTTTTTTACTGAAATACTGGGAACGTTTTCTCTAGAGCAGTGGTCTCACTCAGGGGCAGTTTTGCCTCCCAGGTAACACGTGACAATGTTTGGAGACATTCTTGGTTGTTACAACTTAGGGAGGGGGGTGTTATGAGTACTTTATGGGTAAAATACTACAATACACAAATGCCAAATACTTAGGTTCAATTCCAAACACACAGAATGCACCAAGTTCTTAAGAAACGCTGTTTACATACTTTGTCTCTAATACCTACTGGTAAATCTCTAAATTTCTTAATCTCCTAAACTTTGGACAAATTGCATAATTGCAGATGTGCTCTTTATTTACTGGAAATTAAATATCAGTACTACTACCCCTTTCTTCCTAAGGTTAATTGCTACTATAAAAAATCACAATAAAGTAATATTACTGATTTTTTCCAAGCTATGAACTTGGTTCCCTAAAAGTTGTGCTTGTTCTTAGTTATCCAGGAGCAAGTGGACATGAATAAAGTCAGGTACCAAAGTACCGTGTATCACACGAATGGTATGGGTCCTCTTATCTGGGCCCCATATTTCAGGAGTACACAAATACCCAGCCTCTTTATAGACTACTTTTAGGCTTAACTCCTCCATATCTGTTTATCCATTCAGGCAAGCACACTTACTGCGGGCCTACTCTGTGCCAAGCAAACTGAATACAAAGTCAAAATTTTTTTTACCAGTCTAATAAAAAGACACAGCTAAAATACAAAATGATTTGTGCTATAAATAGAAGTATCAAATAAGTGTTATGGAAGCTTGCAGGGGAAAGGACGCCAGGAAAGGCTTCCCAGAAGAGAACATGTCACAGAAAACATACCCTGTTCACCTCTTAGTATTAAGACTACAGTTCTCTTCTGCTCTTACACACATTTTTCAGTTTTTGCTTCGTCATCTAAACAAGAGGAAAGTGACAATCTGACTTATGTGAACAGACCAAAGTGGCCTTCATCAAATCTCAATGAAGAGTCAAAAAATAACCTTATCAAATTATTTCCCAGTACCTCCTTCCTGTCCAACTTCTGGTTTGTTTTTTAAATATCCTAACTTCTTCGATCAAGTTCCAAACACACCATCTGTCACTCAGTCAACAAGTGTTTCCTTCTGAATTTATAAGACTGTCACAGGGGATGATCACTGCTCTTTCTTTCTTCCAGTTAGCTTCTTCTCCCAAAATAGTTTAATCTTCTAATTTCATTCTACTACAATTTTCGAATTCAGTAACAGAGGTGCTATGAGTTCCGAGGTACAAGAAATACAAAATAACTGCTGTGTACCTTTCTAAATCTTGTCCATATTTCTGGTTTTCTATTGCAATATTGCTGTAGTTCATTAACTGGACTCTTTCTTCTGAGTCCCCAGCAGCTGTCACAAATAAAAATTTCAGACCTGAGACAGGAAACTAGCCAATGACATGTAGTTTTATCGATTCATTTCCAATACATAACATAACTAACATTCTTTAACCAACTTGTAAGTTTAGTTCTCATAGTCTAGGTGAAGTAATGAAGCGTCTGCCTTACCACGAACAGAGCTGGTAGTAACTAAATCGGAAACGCTATTGAAGACTAGGTCTGCTCCTAACTATCCAATGTCCCTACCTTAACCCCTTCACTCTTCCAAAGGGAATCCTCAGTAATGGGAGGCTGGAACACCCAGGGCGGGCAGTGTAGTAGAAAAATTTCTACACTGAGTCAGATGTAGCATTGGCTAATCCTGTTTCTTTTCTGGGCCTCGGTTTCTCCACCTATAAAACTTGCATTTAACGTAGAGTAGGGGGATTGGCTTAATTTCTAAGGTCCTTATGGCGATAGTAATTCAAAAACCTCACCTCGTCTAGCTTTAGGTGGAACACGTGGGAGAACAGAAAATAAGCTTTCACTCCATTAAACCGACCTTAGTTCTCAGATACTGTTTTAAAGGTAACAAACTCCCGGCGCACTCACACTCCCCTGGGGCTGCAACTTCCCCTTGGAGAAGCCAAGGCACATAAAGTCCATCCCGCACGATGGTCAGAGAAGTGCTGGGAAAACCGTACTCAAGGTCTCAAGGCGCTGCCCCCGCAAAGGGCCGGCCCACCTAACCACCGCCCGGCAAATGAATGAGTACAACCAGCTAGAGGGACGCCCCTCAACGTAGGCTGCAACGCAAGACCCCAGGGCCCAGATCCCACCGATAGCGACTCCTTCCCAGAGCCCGAAAAGCTGGGCCTCGGGGCCGCAGGGTCGCGGGCCCCGCCCCCTTCCAAAGGGCAGAAGGTGCGAGCCCCGGCTCGAGACTCGGGCGCGGAGAGGGCCTGGGACTCCCCGCGAACCCGCCCGCCCTGAGAGGAGGTGGAGCCTGCCGGTCCCCGGTCGCCACCACCCCGGCTCCCGACTTACCGCGATGCGGTGGGGGACGAGAAGTGTCAGGAGTGAGGACCTAGGCCCGTCTGCCACCCGCCGCTCAGAGAGCAGCGCGCGGCCGTCACAAAACCGTCGCCGCCGCCACCACCTCCGCTACCGACCGCCGCTTCGGGCGCAGCGCGCAGAGGGCCCGACTGCGTCACACGCCGCCTGCCGTCAGAGGCTCGCTGCGGGCGCTCCGCCCTCGCTGTCTGCTCATTGGCAGATACCGCCGCCACTCTAGGCCCACCCTGTTATTCATTGGACCTAGAGTCTTTTGAAACCGAACGTGAGGGCTGTCTTTGGGAGACTGGAGAGGGGGAAGAGGAGGGACGGAAGGAATTAGGGGGAGGAAGCGGGTGGGGCAGTGGGAGGGACATGAAGTACGGCCCCTCGCCGCCGCGGTTGGCTGGGAGGGAGTCGTGACGTCACAAGGGCCCCTAGAGGTAGGCTGGTGAGTGGCTACATCGGGCGGGGGGAGGGGAGAAGAGTGATGACGCTATGCTGAGGCTCCGCCCCCTTTTTTGGAGCGGAGAGACTCGGGTTGCTGATGCTCGGGCCAATCAGAGTGAAGGCTCCAGGATGGCATGGTAACTATTCTACCCTTACTTTTCCCCAGTCCTCGGGCTGTGACGGGAAAGCTCCCCCGTTGTCTTGCCCTTACTTCCTGGCCAGACCACGTGCGGAGCTGGAGGGACCTACTAGGAGGTCTATCTGCGTAGCTCACCTGCAGCTGCTCCGAGGCCCGCAAACCTGGCCTCCTTGTCTCCTGACCCATGCCAGCCCCAACACAACCTTTCCCTCTCTGAATCCCTAGAATGGACGTTAGGAACATTAGAGGTGCCTTAAGGGAATGGTTCAGCTTAGAGTTTGGTACAAATGACAATTCTCGGAACTTCTTTCCCACCTGCACTTTAGGAACCCCTACTTATTCTTAAAGTCTAGTTGAAATGTTCCCGCTTCTCTGGGATCTCTCACAGCTAGTTGGAGTAATGCTTGGGCAGGCCTCTGTTACAGCCTTGTTACTTTGTATTCTGTTATTTACTTTCCTGTCTTCTGGTGCCGGGCTCTTGAAGTCCAGAGCTTCATTTTCAAGTTGGTGTTCCTTTCCCTCAAGGCCTAGCCCAGAGCAGAAGCCTGATATCTCAAGGGGGTGGGTTGAGCATGTTCTAGAAACTAGATCTAGTGACTGTGGGTCCCACACAAAATAGCAGGGACTGTGTTCAGAAAGAAAAACCTATTAGGATTACCGCTCCACCACCCCCTCCTCCTTGGACATATCTACAAAATTGAAATGGGCCTTGCCCAAAACATGGATAAACTTAAATCACCCTGGGTTTTCAGTGGTGGCAAGGGATTAGAGTTACTTAGTCAAAAAGTGAACACACCATTGTAAAGCAGTTATACTCCAATAAAGATGTTAAAAAAAAAAAAAAGTGGAGTGATCTGGTAGTAAAGGTAAAATAAGATAATGGATGGAAGAAACCTAGTGCATTGTAGATGTTCAGTAGGTGCTTGAAGGAAGAAAAAAATAAATATGTGGATGGTCAAATAGGAAAGCTAAACATCTGACTCCAGACACCTTTCCCCAACTACTCCATCCAAACATGACTCCTTTCCCTCCACCCTCCCTTGCCTATATTCAGCATCAGAAAGTCATTAGGTCTCCCTGGAGAGTTACAGTAGCTTCCTCACTGCCCTCCTGAACCTTTGATTTCTCACCTTCCAATCCTCAAACCCAGCTCTGTTTAAGGCTCTCCTCTGCTTATTTATTCTGATGTCCCTAAGGCCAGCCACACAGCATAGGTGTACATTAAATGTTCGATGCATGAATGAGAGAATTATTTTCTTAAATAGAAAAGAAGTATGGGACTTTTGAGTCAGAGAACCCTGGGTTTAAATCTGAGCCCAACCATGTATTAACTGTATGAACTTTGGGCAAATTTCTTAACCCCTCTGAACCTCAGTTTCCTTGTCTGTAAAATGGGAGTAATAATTGTACTTGCCTCACAGAGTTGTGAGAATTAAATGAGCTGAGGCATATGGTAACTGGTACACAGGTACCCTCAATAAATGATAGATATTATTTGTATTCTTTAAAAATGTTAAGGAATTCCCATTCTAAATATTCTAAGACATGGATTCTGACACAGAAAAGGAGCTCAGAAATATGTCTTGTGTGAGTGAGTGTATTTAGTCCAGAGTACTAGCAGGTGTGCAGGAGCTGGGTCCCTTAAGTAGTGTATACTTATTGGAAGACTGGAGGGAGAGACACTGGACAAGGAGTGCTCCAGGGAGGAGTTTCCTGTGATCATGGTGATTTCTAAGTAGAAGGACCTCTTGTAGGTACTCTGGTAGGCATGTGGCCTACAAGCTCATCATTCCCAGGGACTTCTGCCCCAGGAAGGACTTCTTTGTGGACCAGGGCTTCCTAGGCCCACATAGTCTTACTCTGCCTAATTCTCATAACACCCCTTTTGATTGTCATCTTCTGCCTTCTTCTCCTCTAAAGCCAAGGAATTTGGTGCATGTTCTCAAAAGCTTGCTGAGCCAAGCTCTGTCCTGGGCATTAGGAGCCCAGAGATGTCCACCGCTCAACACTCTGCCGTGGCCAAGAGAGACAGAGCTAAGTAAAGTCCATTTCTGTCCTGGAAGCTTCCAGTCTCTCTCACACATGCCCTGAGAGCTCACTCTATGCAGCTCTGAAGGATTGATGCCCAGGGAGGATAGAGACCTGTAAGGACTGCAGAATTATAAAAGAACACGAGACTTCCTTCCAGAGAGATGATTCTAAATTTCTTATATGGTACATTGGAAAGAGCAGCAGAGTTAGATTCAAACAGATCTAAGTTCAAGTCCTAGATCTGCTACTTTTTAGACCTTGCACAAATTATTTAATTGTTCTGTGCACCAGTTTCATTGTCTATAAAGTGGGCACAATAATTTCTGTTTCATAAGGTGCTTGTGAAGGTCAAATAAGATCATGGAATTTGCAAAGGACTGGGCCCCTGTTTGGTACATGGTAAGCATGCAGTAAATGTTGATTTCCTTCTTTTCCTATAACTTGATAAGGAAGGGTGATGTTTATAAATGACATATAATTAGATTTATATAAATCTTGTGTGAATATCTGACTTTTAACTAGAGCATTTAGTCAATTGCATTTAACGAATTTACTGGTATATTTAGGATTTTATCTAACATTTTAGACTTTCTGTTTGCCCCAGATGTTCTGTTTCTGTGCTTTTTAAAAAAAAATTTTTTTTTTGGTAAAAATAACTGCCATTTACTGAGGCCAAGCTCTTTGCCAGATTTTTATTTTTAAATTGAGATATAATTTGCATAATATAACATTCACCCATTTGAAGTGTACAATTCAGAGTTTTTTAGTATATTCACAAGGTTGTGCAACTACCAGCACTATATAATTCCAGAACATTTTCATAATCCCAGAAGAAACCCCAGGCCCATTAGCAATCATTCCCCATCTCCCCCTTCCCCCCAGCTCCTGGCAATTTACTAGTACACTTTCTGTCTCAATGGATTTGCCTATTCTGGACATTTCATTATAAATGGAATCATAAAATACGTGGCCTTTGTGTCTGACTTCTTTCACTTATCATAATGTTTCAAAGTTTCACCCATGTTTATAGGAGAATAATATTCCATTTTATGAATATACCATATTTTGTTTATACAGTCATGAATTGGATGGCATTTGAGTTGTTTCATCATGGATAATGATTATTCCATTATTCCACTATGAATAGTACTGCTATGGACATTCATGTAAAAGTTTTTTGTGGACATGTGTTTTCAATTCTCGTGTTTATACCTAGGAGTGGATTTGCAGGGTCATATAGTAACTCTATATTTAGCTTCTTGAGGAGCTGCCAAACTGTTTTCCAAACTGGCTGTACCATTTTACATTCCTGCCAGCCACATCTTTGCCAACACTTGTTATTTTCTTTTTTCTGTCTTTTTAAATTATAGCCATGCTAGGGTGGTGTGAAGTGGCATCTCACTGTGGTTTTTTTTATACGTTTCCCCGGTGGCTAATGATGTTGACCATCTTTTCATGTGCTTATTGGCCATTTAAATCTCCTTTCTTGCATTCTTTTGGATTACTTCATTTTTATTCCTGCATCAGTTTGGAAATTAAATTCTTTTTCTATTATTTTAGTGATAGCCCTAGAAATTACTGCATTCATGCCTAACTCACTAAAGTGTCATGCTAATCTATACCTTTATAGGAAGGGTAGAGTTTGCTGAGACAAGGAAAAGATGCATTCCATGCCAGATGAACAGGGAGAACAGAGATGTGGGACCAGGAAAGAGCTCAGTGTATGCATGGGTGCAAACTGGGACTTCATCCTAGAAGTGATAGGGGAGGGGCTTTACTGGTGGCGCAGTAGTTAAGAATCCACCTGCCAATGCAGGGGACACGGGTTCGAGTCCTGGTCCGGGAAGATCCCACATGCCACGGAGCAACTAAGCCCGTGAGCCACAACTACTGAACTGAAGCCCGCGCGCTTAGAGCCCGTGCTCTGCAATAAGAGAAACCACTGCAATGTGAAGCCTGCACATCGCAACGCTCGCCGCAACTAGAGAAAGCCCGCTCTCAGCAACGAAGACCCAACACGGCCAAAAATAAATAAATAATTTTTTATAAAAAAGAAGTGATAGGGAAGCTAAAGAATGTTCTATAGAACAATGAAGATGTAATTACTATTTGAGGCAGAATGGAGCTAGAGCAAGATGGGTGAGCCTAGGGTAAACAGTTTAAAGCCATCCAAGAAGGATGTCTCTGCCATGAGAAAGATCTCTGGGAAGAAAAAAAGAACACTCCTCCTCAACCCAGGAAGACTTTCCTAAGGCTGCCCAGGAGGCAGGGCAGCGTTTGGCCTGAAATTGGATGCTTTTAGCACTTTTTCTGTCTCTGTCGCTTTACCTACCTCCCACCCCCACCCCGAGCCATGCACCCTCTGCCTCCACCCTCTATTCCCAGCAGTCATTCTTCAAAGGCCTTTCTTGCAGTTCCTAAATCTCTTCTTGACATATCTAAATCCTACCCATCCTTCAAAATCCAGTTCAATTAAATCAATCTAGCAAATATTTTCTGGACTCGTACTGTATGCCCATGCCTGGGCTAAGCTGAGAGATTCAGAAATAAACGGAACAGGTGGAGGTTCTGTCCTTAAATGAGCTCCCAGGAGGGCCAGGGAAACAGGCAACAGATTATTTTGCTTCAGTGTGGTTAGAGCCCTCATAAGGGTGTGATGGAAGGCCATCCAAGGCTGCCTGAGGAGTGGGGAGGTGGGCAGATCATGGGGGGTAGGGAGAGATAAGGAGGAAGTTAAACAAAGCTCCATGGAAGAGGTGAGTGTAGTTAGAATGTAAAACAAGTGGTTGCTGGGGTAGAGGATGGCCACGTTATGAAGGATACTGAACATCACACTAAGGAATTTGCCCTTGATGCTAAAAGCCATGAAAATTTACTACTTTGCCACAAGGCACAAGGGCGGGACATGATCAGATCTGTGTCGTAAGAAGAGCCAATGTGGCTAATGGGGAGAATGATGGAGAGATAGGAGGGTAGTGAAGGAGTGAAGGAGATCTCCTACAGGAAGCTTTCCTTGACAACTATATCCCACCTTCACTTCCCCTCTTCTGCCCCCCACCTCTACACCGCCCTATGCTCCTGGGGGCTGGAACATCCCTGAAAACAAATGCTCAGTGAGCTTGGGATATCTGGTATGTGTATGTGGAAAGGGGAGTGGAGCAGTGATCATGGCTAAAGCTTGAAGAGAGTGGTGCTGTTTCAGGCACAGGCCTCTCTGGGATATGTCCAGGCACCAGGCAAACCAACCAGGAGGGAGGAGACACTGAAAGGCTTCAACAGCAGCAGCAGCTACTTGGACAATGGACAAATGCCAGTTCAGCAAACACTGAGAGCGTCCTGAATAAGGTCGAGCCTAGATGCTTAGATGCTTGTTCGATTTTTTAATCTGTAAAATGGCTTTCATCAAACCTACCTCATCAGATTATTAAGAGGCTCAAATAAGAGAATGCATATATAGTCCCTGGCACATAGTAAGAACTCATCTTTTTCTTCCACTTTTCCTCATATAAATCAAGTAGGTGATAGTCTTTCAAACTGACAGTGGAGGAAACAGATTCAGAGAGGGTCAGTGACAGCTGAGGTCAGACAGTTCGGAAAAGGCTCAATCAGGACAAATTCAGACTGTTGCTGACACATCTAGCTGTCATCAACCTGGCACACTGCTCTATTACCTCATCTAATTCTCACAACAACACTATAATGTGGATATTCCTAAAACCATTTTACAGATGAGGAAACAGACTCAGGACTGTATGGTGGGGAAGTGCCCAAATCACCAGAGAATTAAAGGCCAGTTAGAGCACCTCAAGTTTCAGGCACTGGGGGGTAGTCTAGAGGCAGGGAGAAGAGACCCAGCCTCAGGGAATGGTACTTAGAGCCAAAGGAACAGACAAGGGGTTAAGACCGGCAACAGGGGCCAGGAGCAGGCATGTGTGGGTTGGAGCTAGACAAAGAGCATCACGTGAAGCCCCAAGGAAGAAAACCTAAATCCAGTTATCAAAACTAAATGGGAGTGGTTCTTTCAGTAACAATTAGTTTTACTAATTGTTCATTTGCCCTGACTTTAAAGGCCGGGGTGGGGTGGGGTGGGGTGGCAGAATTCAAGTCAAGAAAACTATTTTTTTTAGAATAAGACACCTTCTCTGTAGACTTAGACCCCCAGGAGTGAGCACGATATCTCTGGGTCCCCCACCATTACCCAACCCAGGGCCTGTCACAGAGGGGGCCTAGGCTGAGTAAATGAACAAGAGTGGATGCATGCAAAAGGGCTCTGGCAAGTTAATCAAATTCGGGCCTTTGTTTCCCCGAATTAACAGTATATGGTGATTAAGGGAATGGCCTCAGGTGCCAGACTCGAATCCTGGTTTCTGACACTTACTAGCTGTGTGAGTAGGTAACTCATCTTCTCTGTTTTCCATTGGTGAAATGGAGATATTAATAGTATCTACCTCATAGGGCTTTTATCAGGATTAAATGGGATAGCATAAAAGAGTAGAAAAGTGCCTGGGACACCGGGGGTGCTCAAAATGTGCTAATTATTACTGTGGGGATTTAAACGGGAAAAATGTGATGGTAACGGTGTCTAGGTCAGATGTCCTCCACCTGCTGCAGGTGCTCTGACAATCCCACATTGTAACTGTAGGAGGGATTACTGGTCCCTTCATTCTTTTTCCCCCTTGAGGTAGGATGGTCTTTACAAAGGTAGCCAAGAGTCCCCCTCAGATTCCTTTAGGGGGTCAGTCAGGGTGGGGAAGGAACCCTGGCTGCGGGCTGGTTTCTGGGGATCAGCCCTCTCATGGTGAAGAGAACCAGGACTAGGGTGGGGTTGGGGGGCAGGAGACCCGCTCTCTGCATTTCGACAGGCGGGACAGGGCGCCCTCTCCTGATCAAAGGTGGGAATAGCTGTGGCCCAGAGTTTCTCCGGTGGGTCCCACGGGATCTCGTTCCCTGTGAGGCACTCTTCCCTTTGCTGAAATGCCCCGATTGGGCTCTGGGGAGCAAAGTTTGGGGAAGGGGCGCCGAGGCTGGGGCCAAACTGGTTTAAGGTTTAAGAAGTGCGAAACTGGATAATTTCGTCTAGGTTGGGGTGGGAGGTGGGTAGAGACTGGGGTCAGGAAATGAGAGAATTCGAGGTCCTGTTGAATTAATTTTATGTTCTTTCAACAGGTGATGGAACGCAGCCGAGAGGTAAGTGACAAGGTGGCTGATCCAACGTGTCAGACCCAGGTGTCCAGTGCTCTTCCGGCTGCCCCCATGCAGCCGGAATTAGTGGGGCTGACCAGTGCTGGATCGGCATGGCATGAGGGGACGCCAGATTAAGGGGGACAGCCCGTGGTCCCGGGCCGCAGAAGCGGGGAGGGGCCAGCAGAGGATCTGGGTGCTGTTTCCTTCCCAAGTTCCGCCCCAAGCGCGCCGGCCCCGCCCCCGCCGTTCCCGCTCCGACCCGCCCCCCACCGCTCGCCCCCCGGGCCCGGCCTGGGCTTCCCCCGGGTGCTCCCTGCTCTCGGACTGCGCCGGCGCGGCCTCCTCGCCGCCACGGCCTGGGTGAGTATGGAGATGGGTGTGCTGGACTGCCGGGCAGCCCCACTTGGGGGAGCTCGGCCACGCGGTCTGGCCTCCGCGGGGCCCGGCCCCGGGCTGTGGGGATCCTGGTGTCTGTCCAGGACCTGCTGCTGTGCCCGCTGGGGTAGCTGACCCCTTTCCCCTCTGCTCCCTGACAGGGGCCCGATGTTCCAGAGTGAGCTCTCCCTTCTTCACCCCGCCGGCACTCCTGGTCCAGATTCTTCCTTAGGTGCCCCAGGAGAGAGGTGCCGGGGACCTGCAACCCTTTAGATTAGTTTCAAATCCCAACTCTGCCAGCTATTAGCCTGTGACCTTGAGCAAATGTTAACCTCCCTGAGCCTCACTTGCCTCTTCTGTAAAATGGAAATATACAGGCTATAGCTAGCGCCTACCTCATAGAGTTGTAGTGAGGATTAAAAGAAACAATGTATATCTAGTGCTAAGCAGGGTGCCTAGTACTCAGAAGGCACCCGGTAAGTGTGGATTTGGATTGGAGGCTGAGAAGATCTTTGAGGATCTTTGGAAATAAGGTAGGGATACTCCTAAGAAAGCAGTTTTCAGTTAAGTGGTAACTGTGTGGAAGTTAGAGTTGACTGGGGCTGGACAGCTGCCCTTCAGATAGTGAGCTCCCTGTCCTGAAGCCTGGGAGAGTAGAATGACCTAGTTGGTATGGCCTTATTAGTCATCCAAACCACAAGATCCCCATGTTGTACAACTGTGAAAACAGGCCCAGAGTGGTTAGGTGACTTGCCCAAAGTCACACAGCTAAAAGGGAGGTTAGGCATACCTCCAACAAGTGGAACAGACTGTTCCTCAAACCTTATCAACCCCTGCCTTGGGCACTGCCTAGTCATTCCCTGAGGATCCGGTCTTTGGTTTGGGGGTCCCAGTGATTCCTGAGGGGTCCAGAGCAGCTGGCTTCAGGAAGGGATGTTGGAAGGGGGGACTAGTACCATTGCAACCACAGAATCTGGGTTTCAGCTGGGTGGGGAAGGTCTTTGGGGATGATCCAAGGACTGTAGGAATGTGCTTGATTTGGGAGGGCCACCAGAGCCACTTCCACCGCTCCTGGGAAACCCCCGGCCCGCAGAAGGAGGAAGGAGGTTGAGCAGTTGGGGCAGGCTGCCTGATGGAGCCTGGCAGAGAGGTGGGTGGAGGAAGATGGATGAGAGGCATATCCACCTGGCTTGTTCCAGATGCCATGAGGCCAGCCTCCTGGAGGTCAGAGTTCTTCCTGAGGGTGGCACTAGGAGAGAGTCCTGAGGGCGGGGCCAGGAAGAGCTAGGACTTGATCTCCAGGCAAGGTCCTGGAGTCCAGAAGGGCAGGTTCTTTATGTATCCGGAGCCAGCCCTAGTTTGGCAACTAGAAGCCTAAATTCTGAGGATGGCTTTCCCTCAGGTTCAGCATATGGCTTTGAGGAAAGACCTTCCTCTCTCTGTGTCTTGGTTCCTCTGTCTTTAAAATGGGAACAGGGCTGACTGACTCATTTATATAGGATTTGGTTTTTTAGTTTTTTTCCTCCTATGGACAGGTACCCCTTCACTTTTCCCTCCTAACCTGACCTCTCTGCCCAGAGCTCTGGCCCAGAGAGCAAAGGGTCAAGGAAGGTGAGAGCTGCAATTTGTGACACTGTGAGCTCCACATCTGCCCACTGCTGGCTCTTCCTTCTATTTGCTATGTGACCCTGAGCAGGGTCCTGCCCCTCTCTTGGCCTCAACTTCCCCTTCTATACACTGAGGGGGTCCGGGCTAGGATTGCTGGTATATACTTGGCTAGTAGTATAGTGCATGACCTCATATCCTCATCTGAGTGGGGGAGTGCAGTGGGGAGGAGCCCAGTCCTCAGGAGCCCTTACCTAGTCTCCAGAGGGGAGCGGTCAGGCCCCTGGGCACTGGGAAGCCTCCAGAAGCTGACCAGGCAGCTCTCTCTAGCAAACAGCAAGCCCAGGCTAGCACCAGGCCTGATTCTGCAAAGCCTTTCACCCTCAGAGCACGTGAGGCAGCGGGTGGGGACAGGCAGGGGGTTGAGGTTCTGCTGGCTTCCATGGAGTCCTTGCTGCTGTGGACTGCGGTGCAGGCACACAGAGCACACAGAGCTGGGAAGGGATTGAAGGGGCAGAAGCACCCCGGGCTGGTGGGTGAAGCAGTGAGAGCTGATAGGAGGCCCTGAAACATGGAGGTTCCAAGGCCTGGGGGAGGAGATGGGCCATTCTGTTCACTGGGAGGTTTTAGGATTGGTTCCTGAAACAAGAGAGACTAGTTCAACCGGCTCCTGTAGTACTAGGCCTGTCAAGCCAGGCCTAGGGATGAGAAGAAGTTTTCCCAATCTATTCCGGCTTCATCTTAGCACAGATTTGGTTCATTGTCTTTCCTCTGAAATTGAGGGGTGAATGTTCTCATGGGATTCTCAGTCCATCTTCCTCATCCAAGGCAGTAGCTGTCCAAGTAGTACTAGGCCTGTCAAGCCAGGCCTAGGGATGAGAAGAAGTTTTCCCAATCTATTCCGGCTTCATCTTAGCACAGATTTGGTTCATTGTCTTTCCTCTGAAATTGAGGGGTGAATGTTCTCATGGGATTCTCAGTCCATCTTCCTCATCCAAGGCAGTAGCTGTCCAAGTTTAGGGGTTAGGTGGCTTCCTTCTCAGACTCTCCACCCCATAGCATAGCTAAGCTGAGGACTGAGCACAAGGGCTAGCTTCACCACTGAGTCCCAACCTCACTACCTTGGGCCCTGACAGCACACCACTCCATCCCCAGGTCTGACAAGATGTACGAGGTCCCACTGCCACTGGATCGGGATGGGACCCTGGTCCGGCTCCGCTTCACCCTGGTGGCCCTGGTCACGGTCTGCTGTCCACTTGTCGCCTTCCTCTTCTGCGTCCTCTGGTCCCTGCTCTTCCACTTCAAGGAGACTACGGCCACACACTGTGGGGTAGGGCTTGTGGAGGGGGGCACTGATACCTCATGTTCAGGCCCAATCAGATCTATTTTGGATCCTGATTCTGTTGTAACAGGATTAGCCATCAAACATACTGGGCTGCTGGGGGGATGCCTGCAAATTGAGGTCCCAAGGAATAGTCTCCCTCCACCTTCAACAGAGGTCATTGGGGGCCAGGGTCCCTGAAGTTGGGCAGCCCCAGAACCCCGAACCCAATCCTTAGTTCATAGAGGGGCAGATTCAGCAGCCCCAGGGTTTTCTGGGGGACAGAGAAAAAAACTGGGCTAGAGGGCATTTGGGGCTTTTTAGTGCGGCACCGTGGGCTGTGCCTGTCCCTACGGGAATGTGATTATGTATATGTGCATGTGTTAACTGTGAGGGACATGACTATAATGGCTTTGAGTGGGCTATGTGTGTGAGAGAGACTATATCTGTGTCTGTCTGGTTGGGGACCTGATTATGTGTGTGTACATGTGTTTTCTGGGGTAGGTCCCATGACCTCTGAGGTTCCATAGGTGGCCATACACCCTCTTGGACAGGGATATAGGGTGCTGGGCCAGGAAGAAAGTTGTGAGAGTTCTTTCTCTGTATGTTATGGGTGTAAATGGGGTGAGACCTGTGTGGACCTTTGTTATCCTGCTAGTTCATCCACTGACTCTGTATATTACCTGAATTTCAGAGGCTGAGCCTCAGTTTCCCCATGTCTATCAGGGTTGCTAATTCCTGTCCTCCTCCTTCTCAGGGTTAGTGTAGCGCTCCAGGTGGAGGAAATAAGAAAGTGGTTTGGGAAATGTGAAAGGGGAGGAGCAGAAGGAGGAAGAGGAAAAGGAGATTGTCAAGTTGGAAGACAGGGCAGGAGAGGAAGTTAGCCAAGGGTCTCTAGGTGGGAAAGAGGCAGAGCCTGGACATGGACCCTTGAACTAGCCTCACAGAGAGCTCAGAAGGCCCCCAATCAGCTGAGCTTCCACCTTCCTATTAGGGGTTAGGTGGCTTCCTTCTCAGACTCTCCACCCCATAGCATAGCTAAGCTGAGGACTGAGCACAAGGGCTAGCTTCACCACTGAGTCCCAACCTCACTACCTTGGGCCCTGACAGCACACCACTCCATCCCCAGGTCTGACAAGATGTACGAGGTCCCACTGCCACTGGATCGGGATGGGACCCTGGTCCGGCTCCGCTTCACCCTGGTGGCCCTGGTCACGGTCTGCTGTCCACTTGTCGCCTTCCTCTTCTGCGTCCTCTGGTCCCTGCTCTTCCACTTCAAGGAGACTACGGCCACACACTGTGGGGTAGGGCTTGTGGAGGGGGGCACTGATACCTCATGTTCAGGCCCAATCAGATCTATTTTGGATCCTGATTCTGTTGTAACAGGATTAGCCATCAAACATACTGGGCTGCTGGGGGGATGCCTGCAAATTGAGGTCCCAAGGAATAGTCTCCCTCCACCTTCAACAGAGGTCATTGGGGGCCAGGGTCCCTGAAGTTGGGCAGCCCCAGAACCCCGAACCCAATCCTTAGTTCATAGAGGGGCAGATTCAGCAGCCCCAGGGTTTTCTGGGGGACAGAGAAAAAAACTGGGCTAGAGGGCATTTGGGGCTTTTTAGTGCGGCACCGTGGGCTGTGCCTGTCCCTACGGGAATGTGATTATGTATATGTGCATGTGTTAACTGTGAGGGACATGACTATAATGGCTTTGAGTGGGCTATGTGTGTGAGAGAGACTATATCTGTGTCTGTCTGGTTGGGGACCTGATTATGTGTGTGTACATGTGTTTTCTGGGGTAGGTCCCATGACCTCTGAGGTTCCATAGGTGGCCATACACCCTCTTGGACAGGGATATAGGGTGCTGGGCCAGGAAGAAAGTTGTGAGAGTTCTTTCTCTGTATGTTATGGGTGTAAATGGGGTGAGACCTGTGTGGACCTTTGTTATCCTGCTAGTTCATCCACTGACTCTGTATATTACCTGAATTTCAGAGGCTGAGCCTCAGTTTCCCCATGTCTATCAGGGTTGCTAATTCCTGTCCTCCTCCTTCTCAGGGTTAGTGTAGCGCTCCAGGTGGAGGAAATAAGAAAGTGGTTTGGGAAATGTGAAAGGGGAGGAGCAGAAGGAGGAAGAGGAAAAGGAGATTGTCAAGTTGGAAGACAGGGCAGGAGAGGAAGTTAGCCAAGGGTCTCTAGGTGGGAAAGAGGCAGAGCCTGGACATGGACCCTTGAACTAGCCTCACAGAGAGCTCAGAAGGCCCCCAATCAGCTGAGCTTCCACCTTCCTATAAAGAGCATTTGCTTGAGAAAAAGGGGTACAACCAGGAGTGGGATCTGGCTGGCAAGCATGGGGGCCCACTTCTTTTGTTCATATGACTTCAAGTTTTCCCTCTTCTTGATTTGTCAGTGGGTAGATGTGGGCCTTGAGTTGTGGGCAGCCAGCCTGGTGAGACTCAGGGCTGGGAGCTATCAGAAAGAACAGGACTGGAAGAAAAGGGGGTGACCAGGTGATCAGAGGGGGAAGATCAGAAAGGATCCATCCAACAGCCTCTCCTGACCTAGTTCTCACCTTAGATAATGCATCAAATGTTCTATTACCCTGGCCAACTCCTATTCATCCTGCAAAACCCTTCTCATATGTCTCCTCCTCCAAAAAGCTTTCTGCAGCCTCCATGGGGCAAGCTTAATCACTCCCTCCTCTGGGTGCCCATAGTTCCAGGTGTTCTCTCTGATATAGTTCTATCACATTATCTTTGTGTCTCTCTTCCCTACTAGGCTGGGAGCTCCTTGAAGATGGGCACTGCATCTGAATCAGAAAGTATTTGTTGAGGGACTTCCCTGGTGGTCCAGTGGTTACGACTTTGTGCTTCCACTGCAGGGGGCACGGGTTTGATCCCTGGTCGGGGAACTAAGGTCCCGCATGCCACACAGCGCGGCCAGGGGAAAAAAAAGTATTTGTCGAATAAATGGATAGGACTCCACCCCCCTGACACACACACACACACACACACACACACACACACACACACACACACACATCAGCCCTGGGAAAAGGAAGGCAGGATATAATGCAGTCATAGTCCATACAGAGAATTATAATATTTGTATGGCATATGGAGTTAGACGGAGTAGGCTGTTTGCTCTGGTCCTCGTGGCTGGCTCCAAATGATAATGGGATCAGTAACCTCAGCATACTTATAACCCATTCTCAACATACTAGATAGGGAGCTAAGGCATAGGTAGCTGCTGGAAGGGTACCTGGCCTCTCTGGGGCAAGACTAGGCCTAGTGACCCCAGGGGTATTTTGTCCCTACTCCCTGGGACTACTATGATGGATACACCTGGGAATTTTCACATATACTCTGAATTTTTCACCCAGAGAATCCCAGGAATGGCCAACTGAGGAATGAAAGAAGTAGCCTTAGTCTATAATTACCAATAGATGACATTGCCTCTGCTTGCACATCCCCAGTGATGGAGAGCTTCTTTCCTTCTCAGGCAGCTGATTCCGAGGAGACTTAGTAACTAACAATTAGCAAGCTCTTTCTTTTTTTTTTTTTTTTTTTTTTTGCGGTACGCGGGCCTCTCACTGTTGTGGCCTCTCCTGTTGCGGAGCACAGGCTCCGGATGCGCAGGCTCAGAGGCCATGGCTGACGGGCCCAGCCGCTCCATGGCATGGGGGATCTTCCCGGACTGGGGCACGAACCCGTGTCCCCTGCATTGGCAGGCGGACTCTCAACCACTGCGCCACCAGGGAAGCCCAGCAAGCTCTTTCTTATAGTGAGCATACACCCTCTTTCTGGTGAATCTCTGTCCTGGCTCTGGCTCTGCTTTGGGACCCTTGGAGCTACTTTTTCCACCTGGCTTCCAGCCAGCCCTGCAGAGATGGGAAGGCAGTAATGGCGGGGGAGGAGGGTCCCCTGAGTTTACTTTTCTCAGGTAGCATAGCTCCAGTTCCTTCAGGCAATCCTTACAAGACATGTGCCCTGGACTTGGCCCAGTTGATCACTGTTCTCTCCTAGGCCCTGATCTGGGCATAGGACTTCATATGGCCTGGGAAGTACAGCCCAAATCAGGACTGTTCTATTCCTATTACTGGCTGTTAGACCTCTGTTAATGCAGCCTGAGCTGCCACTAGCTGTTTCTGCACAGGTACAGGCTGGACACTGATACCTCATATTCAGGCCTGTCTAGATCTCTTTTGGACCGCGAATCTACTGTTTAAGATTAGCTAGCTCTCTGATGGGGCCCAACAAACATATTCAGTCCTGCTCCAACAGAAAGGGGCTAAATCCTATTCTGCTTTCTCCCTTTCCCTTCCCAGAAACCTGCCTACATGCCTGGACCCAACCCTCAGAAAGGTCCCCACCGCCATGTCTGGCAAAGGGATCCGCTGTGGGCCAACCTTGGCCACTATCATTCTTACCTTTGCAGAGTGTTCTGGGATTTATGACATGGCCTTGTTGGTCGTGGGAAGGCTGTGTGCCCGGGGAAGGCGTGGAGATCCGGGCTCTGTGGGCGGGAGGCAGGCCCTTGGGAACTGGGGGTGGGACCCTCCAGTCTTAGAGCAGTCTCAGTCTGGCTAGAGCCCTCAACCCAAGCCCCGGATCCTTCAGCACCCAGTGTGAGTGTTGCTTAGTGCGCCTACCCCCACCCTGATTCCCTGATGCTGAGCTGGACTAGTAGACTAGGGTTCCCTTAATGGAGGGAGGTCTGAGTCCCCAGGGGAGATTTGGTCCTAGGCCTTTTAATACAAATCTTCCCTCCAGAAGGAAGCCCAGCGTGAAGGGTCACGGTGGTGGCGCAGTGGGGGTGGGGGAGGGAGTTCTCTGCCCAGAGGGAGAGGAAGCAGAAGAAGCCCAGCTGCCTCAGTCTGGGTCTGTCCTTCCTGGGTCTGGTCCAGCACAGGAGACTCAACCTGAGTGGAGAAGGTTCCCATGACCCTCAGTTCCCGAAAATCTTGGATCGGGTGACATGGTCTTCTCAGAGAGGAAGGAGATAGAGGTCTGGGCCTCCGGAGGGACTCTGGTATCTCGGGGTCAGGGTACTGCTGGCCTGAGGCTTGGATCATTCTGAGCCTGGGGGTGGGATGGCTGGTAGCCTGTGGTCCCATTGAAATAGGTTATGGGGCCCTCCCACTGTTCCTAGTTGAACTTGGGTGAAGAGCAGGAATGTGGTCAGACAGGGTCAGTGGGAAGGCTTGGGTCAGTCTGAGCCAAGGTCCTTTATCTGGGTTACTTGGCCTGAAGTAAACCTTGACTTGGAGCCTTAAGCTATCAAGTGGCAAGAGGCCTTAGTCCTAATGTTTGATCCTAGCATAGTTCTGGGCCTTGGTCTTCCCTTCTGTGGAATGGGAATAATAACCCTTCCACCTCTGACCCTTCTCCTGAGTGGGTATGAGGGTAATGGGAATGAGGTTGGCTATCAGAGCTCCCATGTCCAGGCCACTGGGAGCCTCTATTCTCCATACTCTTCAAGAGGTGAACCTATAGAACCAGTGTGCCAAAGGGATTCCTATGAGCTGACCCTGTCTCTCTGCTGTTCCTGCCCCATCTCCCTCTGTACCTCCTCTTCTGCACTGCTTTCCTTTTTCCTTTATGCCCTTCCTACTCTTTATACTCTGGCTCTTCCCTATACTCTGAAAAGCCAGCTCTGGAAAAGGCCCCACTTTCCTAGGCCCAGGTAACCCCACCAGGCCCCAAGTTGTGTCCCTTGCCCTGCCTGGGCACCACTCCCTACAGGATGTTCTCTGCGGCCTCCCAGCCCTTGGACCCCGATGGGACCGTGTTCCGGCTCCGCTTCACTGCCATGGTCTGGTGGGTCATCACTTTCCCCGTGTTTGGCTTCTTCTTCTGCATCATCTGGTCCCTGGTGTTCCACTTTGAGTACACAGTGGCCACTGACTGTGGGGTGAGTGCCAGGCTCCCCAGCACCTGGGTCAGGGCCAGGTCAGGAGATGGTGATAAGGGTGGAATCAGACAGTAGGAGAGAAGGTGGAGGGATAGAGAGAGGGGAGAGGGATAAAAGGATGGTGGGGGGAAAGTCAGAGCTGGGGGGAGTTTGGGGAGAGAGACTCAGGGAAAGTAGAGTCACAGTCCTCCAAGAGTAGAAGAGGATTGTAGAGGGTTACAAGGGAGCAGAGGGGGCCTGGGGGAAGGGAAGAGAGTGGGAATAAGCAGGAGAGATTGCGAGAGGGAGAAGGGGGCTGAAGAAAGACCAGACTGGAAAGGAAGCCAGGACTGAGGAGGTAAGATGAGGCCAGGAGCCAGGAGAAGTAACAGGTGGCTTTAGCCCAGACTAGGGGCCTGACCTGAGAAGACGCCCAGCCCTGCCCTGGCGTCTTCTATCTTTGTTTCTCCTCTGGCAGTCTCAGGCCCCACAACCTATATCCACTCAGAGCTTTGCCAGCTAGAAACCTAGAAGGAGTTCCTGCCTCCAAGAGCAGTCCATCAAGCCTTTCTTGAGGGCCCAGGGGTGGAGGTTCTGTGTCAGGGGCATGGAATTGAACATGGACTTGCCCTTAGCATCTTATTCCTCTGAGAGACAGACCTAGGCACAGACAATCACAACACTGTGAGATGAGATCCCTTCTGTGATAAAAGGGAGCACAGGGATGCGGGGCCCAGGAGAAGCACTTAAACCGGCTTGGATGTTGGAGACTTCCTTCCTGGAGGAGGGGGAATTATTGCTGTGGGGTGAAGAAGGACCTTTGTGAGTGCCAGGCGGACAACTTTTGATTTTATCCAGAGGGCAATGGGGAGCTTTGGAAAAATTTTAAGCAGGGAAGGGACACGATCAGATTTGAGCTTTAGAAGACCATTCTGGCTCCTGAGTGGCGAACAGATTCAACGGCAGGGGGCAAGAGTAGGGAGACCAGTGAGGAAGCTAGTGCAATAGCTCATGGTACAGGGGATACCAGGGCTAAGATGGGAGACTATGAGGTTAGAGAAGAGAGGATGGAGTCCAGAGAAGAGTAGCAAGTAGGATTGACAGGAATGGGAGTTTTTGTCCAGTTGGTGGGGAGGGGAAGGCGTGGTAAGGTATAAAGAAAAGTCATCCATAATTTCAGGGGACTTTTATCTGGGGCCAGAGGAATGAACCTCTAATGGTGAAACATGAGGCTCTGTGATAAGGAAGTTTTGGGACCCTCTCCCTTTATACCATGTGAATTTCTGATCTACTGCCCTGCCATAGATCCACTGAGCCATGTCTTCCAGGCCAAAGGGTTTCTATTCTTGGGGAAAGAGGTTATGCTCCCATCTCTCAGTACCCTTAGCTCTGGGCTTTTGGGGAGGTTTGTGGTGAGCTGTGTACGTGGGCTCTGATATCTCCTCATGTTGCTTGTTGTTGGCATAGTTGGTGAGTGGGCAACTTGTGTATTCGGAATGGCGGGGGTGTATATGAGTATCTGTACCTGATTAAGCATGTGTGTGTGTGTGTGTGTGTGTGTGTGTGTGTGTGTGATGAGGGAGGCAATCCCTGCTCTTAGAATCCTGCCCCCACCCTTAATTTGAGAGGAACTTGTGAGGATGGGACAGGCAGCCACAGGGCCCTAACCCTCATCCTCCTGAGGCATCCCCCTAACTCCGTGCCATCTCTACCCTTTACCTCTTTCCCAGCATCAGTCAGGGCTCTGGGCCCTTGAATACTCTCGGCTCTCCAAGCCAAGCCTTAGATGTTGGTACTGTTCCCCTTAAAGTAGCTGAGATTGGGGCAGGAGTTTTCAAAATGAATATTCTAGAAAGTGGAGGCAACACTCCCACTAATCCTACTCAGGGGACCTACCCAGAGAGGCAGGAAAGTCAAGTAAGGAGGCTTGGAGGTCTCAGAAGTGTCCAGTCAAGATATGATTCCCACCTTACACTCATAAGTCAGCCTTGCCACGTTCAGTAGCCACATAGATCACAGCCAATTTGCAGACTTTTCAGGAAAGTTTGTCTTCTGAAAGCCATCGCTTGTACTCACTACGTGCTAGACACTGCAGATGCCTTGCATACATTATATTTAGTATTCACCGTCCCCTGCAAGGTAGGTGACGTCATCCCTATTTTGCCAATGAGGAAATCAAAGCTCAGAGAGGAGAAGTGACTTGCTCAAGGTCAGCCAGCTAATAAAGGCAGAGCTGGAATGTAGACCCAGGTTTGTGTGGCTCCAAAGCCTCCATGTTGCCCTTCACTGATTACTCAGAGTGAATATCTGAGCCTGGTCTCAAGCTATGGTATCTCAAGCCATGGCCTCGATAGCATCACCCTCTCTCTGAGAGCTCTGCACTTAGCTTCCTCTGACAGTGCTGAGGGGAATCCATCTCCGTTTCTGTGAAGGCTTGTGAGGGCCCTGGCTGGTCCTGTCCCAGGCCCACCCCTGCCCTGTGAGCTTCCTCCATCATTGCCTGCCTTCCCAGCCACTCTGGAGACCCATTCAGTATCCCCACTGGGAGAAAGGAAGGGGTCTTCCAGAACTTCATCTCTGAAGACTTGTCCTGCCATAGTCACAGCAGGGTCATTCCCCCTCTGGGTTTCTGGGCTCTGGCACTGCTCTGGCTCTTGTTGAAGGTCTAAAAAAGTCCACGGAAAGTGTGGGCAACAGACTGGTAGATTCTGCAGTCATGGAATCTTTTAGAAATGCAGATTCTCAGATTCCAGACCTTCTGCATTCTCACACAATTCCAGGTGACTCGTATGCATATTAAAGTTTGAGACATACTGCTCTAGGCCCCTGAGTCTAAGAGATCCTCTTCCTATTCCTGACCTTCCTGTTCCCATCGAAACTACTGTTCATCCATCCCCCATTCTCTCACCCTCCAAAATAAGCAACATCAGTCCTTGCAGCTGTGTGATATTATCTCCTTCCTCAGCTTTAAAGAATGACACTCCAGTTCCTTAAGGAATGAGGGAATTCCAGCCTTTGAGAAAGATGGATGAGAGAGACGCATAAGAACAGGGTCATTTTCTTAGACTACCCCAGGTTAGGAGCACCCATTTTCCTAAACATGACCAGAGTGAATGTATCTTCTGGCCCAGCTTCCCTAGGATCTCACAGCACCCTCTACTACCTTGGTACCCCAGACCAGAAGAACAAGTGAAGCTGGAAGCAGTCAGGAACAGCTTAGCTGGGCAGTGAATCCAGCGCTGTGCCAAGGAAGCTCAGATGCTCTGTGACTCGTTTCTGTCCTTGGGACTGAATCTGGGTTGCTGGGCTCATGGACCCTCCCACAGGACCTTATCCAGGTCACAGCCCTGTGCTGTGGGCTCAGAGAGCATCTGAACCTGCCTGTAGCTTTCCCAGCCACCTGTAGGGAGATGGAGGCGGTCCCACTATGCCCCAGCACAAACCCCAGGCTGGCTAGGGAATGAGAACCAGGCACACTGGGGACCTGGAAGGGGACCTGGAAGGACCTGGAAGGGGAGGTCTCCCTGGAGAGCTCTGGGGCCCTGAAGAAGGACATCCTGGAGGCAGGGGACTGGACCAGAGCCTTCTGAGTGTCAAGGTGATTCCACAGAGAGGAAGATCTCAAGGTGGGTGGGGCCGGCAGGGGGCCGGTGCCCAGATGCTTCACAACTCTCTAGGTGCCCAATTACCTGCCGTCGGTGAGCTCGGCCATCGGCGGAGAGGTGCCCCAGCGCTACGTATGGCGCTTCTGCATTGGCCTGCACTCAGCACCCCGCTTCTTGGTGGCCTTCGCCTACTGGAACCACTACCTCAGCTGCGCCTCCCCGTGTCCCAGCTACCGCCAGCTTTGCCGCCTCAATTTCGGCCTCAACGTCGTGGAGAACCTTGCGCTGCTAGTGCTCACCTATGTCTCCTCTTCCGAGGACTTCAGTGGGTGCCCAGACAAGGGAAGGAGGAGCGGGGAGGGGTTCCGGGAGGGGATGTCCCTGCCCCCCACCCCCGCCCCCCGACCTTACGACGCAGGGCTCTGGGTGCTCCCTGCGGTGCATGCTCCCAGCCCTCCTCTCTCCCTCCAGCCATCCATGAAAACGCTTTCATTGTGTTCATCGCCTCATCCCTCAGTCACATGCTCCTCACCTGCATTCTCTGGCGGCTGACCAAGAAGCACACAGTAAGTCAAGAGGTACGGTCTACTCCTAGTGGGGCTGCAGGCGGCCCAGAGGAAAATCAAGGACACTCGTCCTCAGGATGCGGGTAATGGTGAGGTGGGAAATGGAGTTCTTTTGCAAACTGGGGCTGGGGCTGGGCTTGGGGACAAGTGGAGGGTGATTGATCAGAATCTGGGGCTGTGTTTGGGTAGCATGGGAAAACGGAGAATAGAAGAGGTAGTGCCTCCAAATGGGAGTAGAATGAGGGGCAGCACCCAGGCTGCAGCGGGAACACTGCGTCAGGGGTCTGTGGTCTGTAATAACTCTGGTGCCTCCCCCCAGCCCTGCCCCCCCCCACCCTGTACTTTTCTTCTCCCCACAGCATCTGGAGGTGTTGGGTTGGTGGGTAACTCCAAGTAACTTTCATACTCTGTCCCCCTGAAATGGGAGGGACAGGGACCCCACTGTACCTTGGCCTCATTACACCAAATGCAGGGGTATGAAATGCCCATCATTCCTGCTGCCCCTGCCTCTGCCCCCTTCTATGACCAAAGGAGGCAAGACACAGCCCTTAGGAGTTGGGGCCAAGAGGGGAGGCTGTCCGCACATATCTAACAAGCTGCAGAGTGATCAGACAGCCCATCCCCTAGGAGCGCAAGTCCTACAACTGGAAACAGCGGCTCTTCATCATCAACTTCGTCTCCTTCTTCACGGCGCTGGCTGTGTACTTTCGGCACAACACGTATTGTGAGGCTGGAGGTGAGGCCAGGCGAGGATCCATAGGTGGTCACAGTGGCTAAGGGACAGTTGGGATGTTTTCTGTAATGTGCAGTATGGCAGTGGCAGTGGTCTTGGGGACTGCCTGCCATTGTGTTCTTTGCGTAGTGATGCAGTGGTGGTGATCTATCAAGAGGCCCCTGGGGGGTAGGGAAGGAGGCTTATCATGCCCTGTTCCTTGTGTCCTTCCCACAGTATACACCATTTTTGCCATCCTGGAGTATACTGTTGTCCTAACCAACATGGCGTTCCACATGACGGCCTGGTGGGACTTCGGGAACAAGGAGCTGCTCATTACCTCCCAGCCTGAGGAAAAACGGTTCTAAACCCTTCTCTCCTGCTGGCGAGGAGGCCCACTGCCCAGAGAAACTAGGACAGGATACCACTCTGGCCTTCCCTCACCCCCTGCGTCCTCTCTGAGCCCTACTGAAGCTGGGGTAGAGGGGAAGAAGGGAAGAAAGGCACAGGACAAGGCTTTCCCCGGCCCTACTGGCTTCTCCTTTCCCCCAGCCCACGTGAAGGCACAGGCTCCTTCAAGCAGCATCACCCGTACCTGAGAAGCCCCAAGAAGCTGAGCTGGCAGGAGAGCTCCACCATCTGGTGCTAAAAGAAGTCCTGAGGTTCATAACCACCACCTGGTTCTTGGCCTTTACATAGCCACCTCTCGCTGAGGTCAGGGACCACTGAGCAGTGGCTGCTACCAGAAAACCGCAGCCATTTCTCCCCATGGGGTCATTCACTTGACCCATGCGTCTAATGATCTACTCTGCACATTCAGGCCTGTGACCACATTCCCCTGCTGAGTATGCCCAGGTGTCCCAGACCTGACTTCACCTCTGATATGGTGTATGCCCTTCCCTATCTGAGCCTCCTCGTGTCCGTGTGGATGATGGGGGTGAGGGGTGGGTGGGAGGCTATATGATTTCCGAGGGCTCTGCCAGTCTGTGCTTCTCCCTGTGGAGGTGGTGTTCTGTACCCAAAGGATACAGAAAAAGCACTGGCACAGCATGTATTTCCCTTCCCTTCTGGAATCTCTGGTTCACAGACTCTTCCTCCTTGGCAAAAGGTGCCAGGTAGAGGGGACAGAGGCACAGATTCCTACCCCAAAACGGGCTCTCTGGTGTCCCCCCCATCCTCCCTACTGCCTTAGGCCCTGTGCTCTTTTGGTTGTACATTTTATTTCAAAGGAAAATAAATTTTTTTTTTTTTTGCCAACAGTCTGGGCTAGGCTTGCTTGTTCGGGGGCTTGTCTCTTTAATGGAACTGAGGGGAGGGACAGGCTCCAGGATGGAGGTAATAAGTCCATGGTAGGGTATGATTCCATGTGGCATTCCCCCCCCCACCCCCTTAGGCCTGGAGTCTCCCAAGGCTGGTCCAAGCCTTGATTTGATGAGCAGGAGTGACTGAGCTATCCCTATATCCCTATATATATCCCTCCAGGTCTGGAAGCTGGGCTACCTGGGAGAGTCTTGGGTTGAGGCGATGGCCTGAGTTCCAGCCCCAACTCTGACAGTAAAGAGTTGTCCCCTTGAGGGTATAAGGGGACAGCTCTCAGATGCACGACTGTGAGAGCACCTACCTGCAGGCTGATGGCTCTCAACCTCTCCCTTTCTGAGTCCTAGATCAGGAAGTTTTTCCTCATGCTTTGCATCCCAGTCTACTACAGAATATGTGGCTGGGCCCCAGAACAAGACTGGCCCCTCCAAGGGAGCCCAGAGCTTTGTTAGGGAAATTGGGGGTGGGGGGACCACAATGAAGCCTATTGTCCCCTGTCCCCTCTTGCAGGAAACAAAAGGCTCCCAGTCTCTGGGGAGCCCTAGCCCATGCACGGCCCCTGCCCAACCCCCCATGCCCAGCACACAGGGAGGAGCCAGCGCCACTGGAGACAGGAGGTTTTATTGATGCTGATGGGGGTAGGAGGGGCCCCCAGGAGCCCAGAGGGGGTGGGGGTGGGGCTGAGTCAGTCAGCGGATGCGTAAGGCCTGGGCACAAGGGGGTAGGTTAGGGCACATTCATCTTCTTAGGAGTCTGTGGCTCCTTCTCTGGGGAGGGGAGAGAGCATCTTGGGGAGTGGGGGGCAATTTGAAGAGCAGCGAGGGAGAGGTTAGGGATGGCTGAGAGCTCCTAACCTGAGAGAAGGCACCACAATAGGCAGCAACATCTGTGTGGAAAGCTGGATCAACTGGTCAGTAGGGGAAAGTGGGGAAGAGGCACTGGGTAGGCTTCTTGGGGAGGGGTCCGGCCTTGGCCTGGGTGAGCTCTTGAGCATACCTGGTGTTCCCAAGCAGAGTGGGGCAGGGCCCAAAGCCCCTTTCTCCATGGGCCTCCTCAAGGAGAAAAAGGCATTCGGGGAGCCCCCTTGGCAAGGGGTGCCAGAATTAGTCCTTAAGGCACAGCTGGGGGCAGACAAGGCGCCAAGGCACAAAGGCACAACTGGTGGCGGGGCAGGGGCAGCCTCCAAGCTGAGTGCCAGGGTCACAAGAGGATGCAGGACCGCCCACGTTTGACGGGCGTGGGGTTGAGCACGGCCCGGACAGCCTCAGCAAACACTTCCTTGACGCCGTCCTGCTGCAGGGCTGAGCACTCGAGGTAGCGCACAGCGTGGATCTGCTTGGCCAGCGCCTGGCCCTGCTGCGGTGTGATGGGTGCCTGGCCCTGCTCCTTCAGGCGCCGTAGGGTGTCAGGCTGGGCTCTCAGGTCCTTCTTGGTGCCCACCAGGAGGATGGGCACGTCGGGGCAGTGGTGGCACACCTCTGGATGCCACTTGTGCCGCACATTCTCATAGGAGGGCGGACTGGCAATGGAGAAACAGATGACAAACACGTTGGTCTGAGGGTAGGAGAGTGTGCGGAGGCGGTCGTACTCCTCCTGGCCCGCTGTGTCCCACAGGTTCAGGTTCACTGTGCGCCCGTCAACGGCACTCTGGGCGCTATAATTGTCGAACACTGTGGGGATGTACTCCTTGGGAAAGGCGTTGGTTGTGTAGCAGATGAGCAGGCACGTCTTGCCCACAGCCCCATCGCCTACCACCACACACTTGATGCTCTGCATGGCGGGCGCAGCTGCTGTGGTGGAGGCTATGCCTCCTTCCCCTTCCGGGCCCCTCTGGATGCAGTGACCTATGGACAGATGAGAGGGATACTCTTGGTTAGGGAGGACTGTATCCACTGGGAAGAAAGGATGGGGGCATACAGAGGGAAGCCAGCTCCAGTTCTTTTAACCTGAACACCATCCTGCAATCCCATCAAGACAGACCTCAGAGAGACAGACACGAAATGGGAGAGAGGCCCTGAGACCACACAAAGATGCTCAGGGATAAAGAGGCTGGCACTAAGGTGTAATATATTATGCGAAGCACATATGTTCTGATGCCAGACTGACAAAGGTCAAAATCTGGTTCTCCTATCTCCTAGATGTATGACCCTGAACAAATTACTTAACCTATGTCTCATTTTTCTAATCTGTAAAATGGGGATAAAATAATACCTACTTCATTGGGTTGTTGTGAGGATTATATGAGTTAACTAATGTAAAGCATTTAGAACAGTGCCTGGTCATAATAAGCATTCAATAAGTATTAGCTACTTTTATTTTTCCTCCAGGAAGTATAGACGCAAAAGGAGGGTGCGCATGTGTAGGGATCTACCAGATCCTCTGTCAGATATGGACCCCTCCCACCGAGTAGACTGGAGAGGGCTTCTAGCACAAGGCAGCTGTCCCAGGTCACTCTGAGTTGCAGCCATGGGCGGAGCCTCTCCCAACTCAGGGCCCACCCTGCCTAGTGCACTGATGCTTCAACTCCAAACCTGACATCTTGGCTACTGAACGCAAACCAAAAGGTGCAATGAGAAACCTGCTGAGTAGGGGCACAATTCTCTAGATAGTTGCCCTGTCTCAATCCAGGGTACCCTGGGGATGGGGAAAAGGAGGGAGAGCTTACCCCATCATTCTTGGAAGCATGGGAAACCCTATCTGGCCACACATACCCAGGCTGGCAACTCAGTGTAGGAGAACACTGGAGACCGAGCCAGGGCTGGAATTCGGTCTGGAATCTGTGTGTGTAATGATGAATGAGGCAGAGGCTGTGGCTCCCAGATGTCTGCATCTTCTCTCAAGGTAGGGTGAGGCAGATCCTCCAAGCCCAGCCAGAAGGGATGAACAGAAGAGTAAGATAAAAACTTGATTTTCCCCTTAATCTTCTGTCCCTTTCCTGAGACCATGGGCTGTGCCTCTGAAGAACTTGAGGGGCTTCCAGACTCTTGGGTAGAGAACACAGTGCCGTTAAAGCACTATCACTGAGAAGACATGCTGGAATCAGACTGGTCAGGGATTCTAATCACAGCTCCACCAACTAGTCATGTATGATCTCGGGCAACATATTTAAGTTTCCTGAGCCTCAAATTTTCTCATCTGTAAGATGGGGATAATCTTGCCTATTGGGTTAGAGTTGGTCAGAGTATGAAATGAGCTAACATGTAGAAAGTGTTTGGCATGAGGCGTGGCACACAGGAAGTGCCAAATAAATAAGCTGCTGTAATTATCAGTGGGGTGAGTTTCAGAGGAGTCCTAGCTCCAGCCATCACCCTGGTCACCTGGGCAGCTCACAGGGCCTTCAGGTGAGGAACTGCTCTTCTGAGTTGTGGAAAAGAACAGAGCTTCCGGAAACCCTGTGATTATTTATACTGCTGTGGCAGGGGTCCTCCTCTAATTGGCTACTTCCTCTCAGCCATGGAGGACTTTTTCTAGCTAGTATGTGACTTCCTTTCCCTGCTGCTCTCTCACGACCAGGCCCCTGCTCCCTGGAAGGGGACAGTCCTGTTTCAGACACACCCAGAGCTCTTAAGTATCCCCCACTCCACCCCAGCACCTTCACCACTGGCCCATTTTCTCCATTTCACTTTATACACAGCAAGACTGCACCCTGGTCTGACAACCCCTTACCTCCCAGCCTGACCTCTCAACCACTGGTTCCAAAGCCTCAAAAATCACATTGGGAGAGGGAGGGAGAATCCGCCACTGGGAAGTGGAAAAGGAACTCCATGGTGTGGAACCTGCAGAGGATCCAGGGCTTGGTCCCAGCTCCCTCCCAGGCCCCAGCTTCCCCTGGGACCAGCTGGGAGGGAAATGAGTTCATTCTATGAGGTTGCCTCTCTGATTCACATTAAAAATATTTTCACCTTATTTGCATGAATAAGTGTGTGTGTTCAACCTCAGGAGAGAGGATAGAGAGCCTTGGGGTACGGATCCAGGAAGAAAATAAGGACCCTCTAGGGCAGTAGAGAATTTGGGATTGGGAGTCAAGAGAACTAACCTAAGTCGTAGCCCCAGCTCTGCTCTGCTGCTGACTCACTGTAACCAAGCATGAGGCACTTACCCTCTCTGAGACTCAGTTTCCCAACCCATGAACTGGAGAGAAAAAAGCCTGTGCAAGGGTACTAAGTGGATGAGGTGAGACATTAAGGAATCTGGGAGCAGGAGATAGGACGATGGGGATAGGAAAGGCCCGCAGGAGCACGGCATGGGGGTGGGAGGGCTGATCAGTCAAGCAAATGCGTTAAGACCTTGGCACGTGGGGGCAAGTCAGGCCACATTCATCTCAGGATTCTGTGGCTTCTTCCTTGGGGGAGAAGAGATAGCATCTTGGGGTGGCGGGTGTTGGTGCCATTACTTGTGTCCACTGGATTTTCCAGGAGACCCCAGCATCTCGAAAGCACAACTCCTAGGCCTGTAAATCCTCAGTTCCACACAAAGCAGGGGAGTGGGCATGGCAGTGTGACGGGGAACTCTTCCCCCTCAAGCCCAGCACTGGGCTGGCCCAGGCAGGAAGGCAAGGAGGGAACTCTGGCCGACAGTCACAAGGCCCAAGAGACTAAAAGTAGAGCTGGCTCCAGGCAGCTTTCTAGGGAGGGGTTATCAACCAGCAATCAGTAAATCAGCCCTCAAAGGAGCGAGGAGGGAGAGGGAAGCTTCCGGGCTGGCAAGGGAACAGGGACTGACACCGGAAAAGGATCACGAGTGAGGTAGTGTCCAGAAACAAGCAGGGCAGAGGCAGTATAGTATAGGGCCAAGAGCACTGGCACCTGAATCTGACCTCCTGGGTTCACCTGCCCACTCTGCCACTTGATTAAAAGCCCTCACAAGGTACAACCCTTTATAGATCACAATATAGATCATGTTACTTTTTTTGATCCTTATAACAACTCATTGGTACTATTCC